GCCATTCCAAGACTCTCTCGCCTGACCTCCTCCAGCGCTGTCTTCCCCACAGACCAGAGCGCTGCTCCAGCCTCAGGCTACAACTCCCACCTCCAGCGGTGTGACTCCAAAATGGGCCTCTAGCCCTTGAGTCTCGGGAAGCACCCAGGCCTGAATGCCACCATTAATTTATCATCTGTTCAGACCCAACCCGTTTAAAACAAAACTCAAACTCCTAAATTGGCTGTCCCATCTGAGAGTTGATAAGTATTCCAGGGCCAGCATTCCCATCTCCCAGAACCAGACCGTCTAGTGGGTCGCTAAGCATCCTTCACTCTGAGTGGAATGTTGGGCCTTTCCAGTCTTACAGACACCACAGCCATCCAGGCCCACTACAAACATCGGTGCACGGGCTCCCTTTCTCTAGCTCTACTCGTCCCAGACGAGCCTCACAGGCCGCCAAGTGACTTTTCCTAAAAGTAGTGATTTCATTAAAGATCATTCTTAGTAGGAAGGTTCTGTGCTTGTTTGTTTGTTTGTTTGTTTTAAACCCCTAAGGTCACTGTGGGCTGCTAACCACACTCAGCTTCTAATCTCAAGATTGGAGGTTCGAACGTATCAGCTGCTCTGGGGGAGAAAGACGAGGCTGTCTGCTCACGTGAAGATTTAGAGTCTCAGAAACCCTAAGGAGCAATGGTGCACTGCCCTAGAGAGTCCCTGGGCATGAGAATCTACTAGTCGGCAGTGGTTGAATGCCAGTGAAGAACTGTACACTGCTAGACAGCGCTGGCTTGAGAATAAAGGAGTGTGTGGAGAGGGCCCAAGCCGGCGCCTGACTCATGCACCTGCCAGCCCACTGCATCAAAGAACCAAGAACCAAGTGAAACAGAAGCAGCTGATTCTGGGCACTGAGAAAGCAGCAGAATGAAGACCTAGAGCAAGCGCGGATGGGAATAAGGAACCAAATGAGCACAGTGAATGAGGAGACCCACAACAGTGACCCCTAACAACCAGCTCACACAAAGTGCGGCCTTCTTTAGACCAAGCAAGCCGCCTTCCCCAGTAGGGAGCACGGCAAGGCCACGTCACAGACTCCCCTACAGGACACAGATAAACTGTGCAGAGAAACCCAGAGTGAAGAAAGGTGAGCAGCACATGAACTGGATGTAAGGAGAGAAAATGCCAGAGATGGAGGACCATGCTCCCCCTTCCTCTGAGCCTCTGCTTCCTGCACACTCCAACGACCCCAGACCTACAACTGAGGGCTCACACCCATCCTACCACCCATCCCTCTGCAGCATGCTTGCTGGCAATCTGCGGCTCACAGGAACGCACCGGCAGGGCTGCTGCCAAGAGGCTCACAGCACCCTGCCTTCCTCCAAGCAACTACACGCAGCAGTGATCCATGGTGTGGGAGCTCACACTGTCAGACCAGTAACCGCAGGCTCCTGCTTGCTCCCTCTAGGCTGCCCACCAGAGGACAGTGGTTCATGCCACCCAGCCGGGGACCACTGATCCATGCACTTTAGCCTTGATCCCCCGGCAGCCAGGGGTGCCCACATATCACACGCAGATAAAAAGAAATTAGGGGATTTATATAAACCAGACCAGCCTTACAAGAAAAAACCAGATAAACATAAGTCTTGGACAAGGAACTGACATCAGAAAACAGCCCAAGATGAAGACACAGAACAGCATCAGCCAGAGAGCAGTCCAGATAAAAATCCTCAAGCTGCAGACTTGAAAACAGAATCAGAGATCTCAGTCTGCAAATGAGGACAACTACCAAACAAAAAAGGGGAGTAACTGGTGTGCTGTAGAACTTCCACGTGGGGAGGCAGCTGGGGCAATATAAACTCAGCAAGAGGAAGATAGACCATAGGGTGGCCACAACGAAATGATTAAGTCCACTCACCAAAGTAAAGACGCAGGGGTAAAAAAGGCTCAGAAGACACAAACCAACCAAAATGTAGAACACTCATTAAAAGAAATCAGTACCAGGAATTAAATGGAACAATAACAAAAACCTGTTAATACCACACATGCACACAAAGAGCCTAAGAAAATGGCAGCAGTAAATTGATCCCTACCAATAATCTGGCTGAATCTAAGTGGTTTAAATTCACCAGTCAGAGACAGGGAGAATGGTCTAAAACATTTCAAGAGTCATCAACGTGTTGCCGACAAGAAACACATCTTAGCCACGCAGGCAAGCGTGTCTGTGACGTCCACTTAGGTCCTTTTCTTTCTTTCCTGTCTCTTTAATGACCTCTTCCTTTCTTCACGTCTGACGATCTCGATGTCATCCCACAGCTCGTCATTAGTGTTCAGTGCATCAAATCTGTTCTTGAGATGCTCTCTAAATTCAGGTGGGATAGACTCAAGGTCGTATTTTGGTTCTTGTAGAACTTGTTTTCTTTTTCTTCAGCTTCCATCTGAACTTGCATATCAGCAGTGGGTGATCTGTCTCACAGTCACCCACTGGCTTTGTTTTGCCTGATGACGTACTGAGTTTCTCCCTCATCTCTTCCTACAGGAAAAAAAAAAGTCTGTTTGATTCCTGTGTGCTCTCTCTGGCAGTCTGTGTCTACAGTTGCTCCTTCTGTATTTTTTTTTAAATGGTATTTGTGATGAAGAAGTCATTGGTCTTGCAAAAATCTATCATCGCGATCCAGCTCCATTTCTATCAGCCAGGCCATATTTTCCAAGTGCTCTTCCTCTTTGTTTTCAACTTTTACATTCAAAACACCCATGATTTCAATGCATCTTGATGGCATGTTTGATCAATTTCATATGGAAAAAGTTGATAGACTCAATTTCTTCACCACCAGCTTGAGTGGTTGGTACATAAACCTGAATAATGGTTGTACAAACGGGGCATATAGATCTTCTATCACTGAGCATAGCGTTTGAAATGCTATTCTGGATGAAGAATGCTGTCGTTCCTGCCATAATAGACCATATCATCGTCTGGTTCAAAATGACCTCTACCAGTCCAGTTCAGTTCACAATGCTTCAAGTATCAATCTTCTAGCATTTCATGTTTGATCATTTCTAATTATCTTCAATTCATACTTCATACATTTCACGTTCTGATGACTCATGGATCTTTACAGCTATCTTTTCTCATTTTGAGTCATGCCACCTGTCCAAATGAAGGTGCTGGGAGGTCAACTCTGCTTGGAGGTAGAAGCCCTTCCCAGACCTATCTCGAATGCCTTCCAACCTGAGGGGTGCATGCGCTGGCACTCTCTCTGGCAGTGTTCCATTACTAGCCCGCAGTTCTAGTGGCTAAGCCCTCAGAAGTGGGGGACTTAGTCTCTGTTCGTGATCTGTCCTTAGTCTAGAAGCTCTGGCTGAAACTTGTTCACCTTGAGTGCCCCTGCTGGTATTAGAAACGGTGGCATCGCTGCCAGCATCACATAAGCCACCACTGGGTGGATGTGCTGCATGTAAGTCCACACACATAAACAAGCCACATGAGGGAGCGGTTACAGAGGCTTCATAGACACGTCCAAACACCACTGAGGAGACTGGTTGACAGAGTTGAAAGGCTTATGACCATAGCCTTACCAGATGACTCATTCAACTGACATAACAAAGACAATGCTCTACAGCTAAGTCAGGGAACGGCACCTGGGGTATTAAAACCAGCAAAGGGCCATCTGAGATACAGCTATCAGACTCTACTCGTGTGAAGCAAACGGGAATGAAGGAAACTAAAGGCTTGGAGAAGAAAGGAATCCATGGACCAACAGCTGCCTTGAATCACCGCCTCTTCAAACCTTAGACCAGAGGCTTGCAGGTGCTTGGCTGGCACTACGGATCATTCCTGCCAGGAACAACAAAGATGGTCCCAGACAGAATGGGACAGGAATGTAGGACAAAACTCAGGTGCCTACAGCAAGGCCACACGTACTAGACTGACGAAGGCTGGAAGAAGGAATTGAAGTTATTTCTACAGGTCACCTTTGAGCCAAATAATAGATTGGCTTCTAAAACAAACAGAATCGCCTGTGAGTAACATGATCCCTTAAATAATGAACGATATGAGACAAAGGTCAACATTTATCCAAAAGAAAAGGCAAGAAGACAAGGAGGGGGAAGGAAACTCGATTCATGGCAACAGCACAAACAGAATGGAAAGCAAGAAAAAGCTCCGCATAATATAAAAGTAGACAACAAAATGCTAACACTTCTCCTGATGTTTCGAGTTTGAAAGATATTTTCTTCTTCTGGCTGTGGGTTCTCTTTCAAAATGCAAATCATTTCTGTCATTCAGAAAGCATACCAAAAAAGTGAAGCCTTTTTAATGTCCTCAAAACATTTAAATAGCATGTATGTAAAGTGGAATGTAGGGAAATAAATTGCTGTAGGGCACATTGTTACCTGAAATATAAAAGCAAAACTGAACTGAACTCTGGAAACACCAACAGCCCAGTCTGACAACACTGCCCACTAATCCCCTACCTAAATCCCAAATAGCTAGGCATGGCGGTTGGCACACAGCATCAAACCACCCTTCGTGCCTGTGTCTGCCCTGGACCGCTCCCTCTCCTCCTCTCCACCCATCCAGTGCATCGCGTCTTTCAGCCTGTGGGCAGGAGAACTGCTCTCTGCTGGCTGCACATCCAGGAAGTCTCCAGGAGATTTTTTAACCCAAATGACTTTCTTGCTGCCCAAGTCCTCCCTTTGCTCCATTCTGACCAAATACTCTACTTCCTGAATCACTCATCTTCGTATCTCAACATCCTCTCTCTTAAACTGTGCTTTAACTGCTACATGTAGAGAGCTCTCACTTCACCAGCGACTTAGTTCACTGACAACACCACCGGCTGCGTCTTGGAACTGTCCCCACAGTGCTGACAGAGTCCTGAATGTCCAGTCACGCTGACTGGATGTCATTACATCCAATAATAGTCACTGCTACCAGTGAGTTTGCTTAGATGCCAGTCAAATACCATGTGAATCTGCCACATCAATGTACACAAATACATATCGAAGACAAATACACTTTTTACCCCAAGATTCCAGCTGTTAAGGCGAGCTTCAAGGTCACTGTCAAATGAAGAAAGTGCAGATTTTTTCAAATGAGCTTCCTGAAAAACAAATGCACAAGAGAGAAGGGAAGAAGGAAAGCAGGAGGGAGGGGTGAAGGAGGAAAGGGAGGAAGAAAAAGGAAGAAATTTAGACAAAATATTTATCATTCAGAATAATGAGAATTCGGTAGGCATGGGTAGCATGGCCCTCAGGAGCTTGGTAGTGCAGTTGTTAAGCATGTGTGTGCTAACCAAAGGTCAGTGGTTCAAACAGCTCCATGGGAGAGGCGGTGGTATAAAGAGCCTGTTTCCATAAACATTCACAAGCTTAGAGCCCCTACGGGGCTGGTTCCACTCTGTTCTGCAGGGTCACTATGAGTCAGAATCGACTTAATGGCAAAGAAGTTGGTGTTTTGCTTTTATATTGCCCTCAGAGGAAAGGATTGTGTTGTAAATGAGCTACAGTTCCCAATTCTGAGTAAAGGCTGCTGACGACACTCGCTTGGGGCTGTGAGATGTCTTCACAATATATTTACACAGAAACTAAGGAGCTTTTAAATCAAAAGAATACTCTAAAAATGAAGCCAAACTCTTCTCTAGGCTCTTGGACAGAAAGTCTCGTTGTGGTGCACCACCGTGCATGGAGGGGAGGGGGTAAGGGAAGAGCAGGGTCACTTGAAAAGACACAGTACTTGCTCTCCTTAACCAGACACTTAGTTTTGTGTTTGATGCCCAAGAAAACTCTTTGTTCTTAAATTGTTCCTCATTCACACACTGAATATTAAGAGAAATAAGCTTTGGAGTCACAATATGAAAACACCATTATGGTGATGCTTTACTTTTTAAAAGACCAAAATGCCATGGTTTGGTTTTCCCCCCTCATATAATGTATTAAACATTTATCAAAACAGACTGCCAAGTGTAATTAACTGAGGACAGTTAAAAAAAATGAATAGTGATCTAAAAGGGTCTAAAAACTCAGAAAGGTATCATCTCTGTAAATATTCTTAAGTTTAGTTTACAGGCACAAACAAAATCCATTTTGAAATTGAATTTGTTGGTTCAGGAATGTCATGCTTTTAGAAAAAGCTGTTTATTTTCAAGTCCCTTAAGTTTACTGAAGTGACGAGAAATGTACTAAAATGTTACACTATACACATTTTCCTGAGTTTCCAAACTCTCATCAACGCTGACTCTCGTTCTTTATCCACTATGTTAAAATTCATTACTGCTTCTCCTGGTGGTCTGCCACTTTTTACGTATGTTTATTTGTGAACAAGAACTTCAGATTTTTAAAAAATGGGCCTGCCTGGTTTTATTTTGAGCAAATATACTGAATGATAATAAGCTTACAACTTTTAAAAACCTGGTACCTTACATATCAACTTGTCATAACATTTTAAACCATCACTGGAGAAGATGCAGTGAGTCCGTTTTAGATCAATATGTGTTAGGATGACACATGTTTTGTCTTGTAACTAAACTGCATATGTAACCCAAGATAAGTCAGAGATAGACCATATAAAGTAGAATAAACAGAATTCTGTGTACTAACCTAACTGGAATGCTCATTAGCACTTGCTCAAACCAAATACATGGTAAGCAATTAGATGCATGAACAGCTGATGACAAACAGTTCACCTTCATCTAAGCATCAAACCCATTGCCACTGGGTCCACTCATATAGGACACCTGTGTGTCAGAGGACTGTGCTCCACATGGGTTTGGGTTTTTTTACATTTTATTGGGCACTCTTACAGGTATTATAACCATCCATAGTTCAATTAGATCAAGCATAATTATACAATTGCTGCCACCATCATTTTCATAAATAGTCTTTCTTCTTGAACTCTTTGATGTTAGCTCCTTTTATCTCCTTCCTCCCCTATCCTACTCCCCGGGAGTCTCTGTTAGTGTGTGTGTGTGTGTGTGTGTGTGTGTATTTTGCCATATCTTACACCATCCAGTGTATCGGTTCACCTACCAATCTGTTATTCATTCCTCTTGAGTGGGATCATACAGTGACTGTTGCTATCAGTTCCACCTTCCCCCCTCTTTCCCACCCCCGCCTTTCCACACCCTCAGGGGATCATTACTCCTGTCACTATTTCTGAAGGGTTTATCTACCTTGGATGTCATGCATCAAACCATCTTAATTACACAAATGAACATACGCAGTCTGAGAAGATTAAGGAGGTAAAACTGAGACCGTAACAGTAGGGAGGAAACACTAAAGAAGGAGAGGACACTGCTGAGTGTCACCAGTGCCATCTGTCACAGTGCTTCTGGAAGGACTCAAATGTTTCTGTTACCAGTTTTTCACCCGCGGACCCCTCTCCCTACCTCAATACAAACGGATCCCAATTTCTTCTTAACTTTACAGTCACGAGATATCTAATCACGTGATACAGATTTTGAAAAACTGAGAAATGGGAAAACAATCATGAAAACCCAAAGCTTTCCCAAAGTTATTCTGATTGACTGATGGCAGACTCGGTACGAAGGCCAAAGGGGCCCTTCAATTACCTGAGAGCCAAGATCTCCAGGGCCGGGAGGGTAGTCTTCCCCAAAGCCTCCAGGTTAAGAGGCTATTTTTAAGTAAGCTTCGGAGCTTTAGCAATATGAAAGTAAAAGTTTGAGGAATTATTTTAACAATAACCAAAAAACAAACCAAAGCGAGATCTGCGCTTACAGAACTCTTGGAAGTCTCATTTTCTCCATCTTCTCTGTCGGCTGGACTCGTCGAATGTGGTCTCGTTCGGAGCTGCCCAGTGTACTGTTCCCTACTAAAAGACCAAAAGTGCAGAAATCAGAATTTAGGGAGTCACAGGACATGAGGGTATAGAAAGCTAGGATTTTTCTTTTGTCCCCTTTTTGGAGAAGATGATTAATTAGATGGGTTGCATCAACAGTGAGGTTACAATAAACCCAAAACCAAACCCATTGCGCTCAGACTTGTAGCTCCTCTATCGGGCAGAGTAGGCCTGCCCCGCAGTGTCTCCCTCTCTAAAAGGGCAGACGGCCACATCTCGTTTCTCGAGGAGTGACTGCTGGATGTGAACTGCTGACCTTCCTGTTCGCTGCCGAGTGTTCAACCACTTGCAAAGAAAATGGAAATCCAAGTGGAGAACATTTGCATTTCTCACGTGCTAATTCATTTTGATTGAACTACAAGTAAAATGTCACTGAAATGGCACAGATTGGCTGACAAGCAAATGTGGAATCATAAGTAGAATCATAAGATCACAGATATTTAAAGCTTTTCTCCTTCTGCCGTTTCCTAAGTTCAGGAAGAGAGAAAACGAAGCTGAGATGCTCAGAAAAGATAATGGCTTTCAAAAGGTTAGCACGTGTTTTGGATTCAGTTTGCACCTAAGAATGAAGTCTTAAAACGGATAGCACAGCACAACTCTCCTGGAGCTGAAAGCGTGCATCATTTTAGAAACTACTAAAGAACAACCAGTCCATCTTGAAACAAGAACAGTCGGCATGCTCTGGAAACTAGGATGGCGAGACCGGTCTTACTACTTTAACATGCTCTCAGGAGAGACCAGTCTGTGGAGAAGAAGTTCATACTCGGTCGAGTGGAGGGGCCACGAACAGGAGGAGGGGCCTCGATGAGATGGTTTGACACAGTGGCTGCAACTGTAGGCTCAGACATGGAGAGAATGCTGAGGCCCACACAGCACCAGGCGGTGTTCCGTCCTGCTGTGCACAGGTCGCTGTGAGTCGGAACTGACTCAGCAGCACTAACAGCAACGACAACATGTGCGAAGCTACCAATACGGCAGGCTTCGATTAAGAAACACATCATGGAAAGCCAGGTAAAAGTGTGACAAAATGGAGACACGTTTAAATGCGAACCACCTCTCCGATGGAAAATAGTAAAGCCTATCATTCTCAAATAGCCTAGAGTCTCACCTATTTTTATGGAATCGACTTCACTGCACGTTCCATGACTCTGACGAGCTGCTTCTTGATATAGGAAATGGAAACTAACCCTCAAAAAGTGAATTAAAGTCACTAACTTTCCACCAAAACCACAGCAGGATTTCCTTCACAAACTGTGGGCTGCATGAAGACAAAACCCCATTTCCAAAAGTCAGGGGAACAGGAATGTGGATTTGGGTAGCAATCTTGACAGCATGGCATTCCTTTGACTAAGTTGTTCCATGATTTTAAAAGTCTGGAAGAGTTGCTTTATACTCCCGCTCAGTATCTCAGATGACCAAATAGTTCAAAGCTAATGAGAAAAAAAGGAGCCATAGTCTCATATTTTGAGACTCACGTCACCAGCCAACGTGCTTGAGCTGATACAGCATTTCAAACTCAGGACTTGGGAGTACTTTGGGCCAGTCCCTGGAGATGGACATCACGCTTGGCCAAGTGGAGGGAGGGGCAGTGAAAAAGAGAGTCCCTCGAGGAGATGGACGGACCCGGCGGCTGCGACCATGGGCCGGACCCTAGAAACAGCTGTGAGGAGGGAGCAGGATAGGACAGCTTTGTCGTATGTGGTTCATGGGTCACCGTGAGCAGGAACCAACCCCACAGTGCCTAGCAACCACACAACAACTTGGCAAGGGGCAACTTGATACATCACACAAAGCTGTGGCTCTGGCTTCTTGCAGAATCGATTAAACAATCATAAAAGAAACTATACATAAATGTTTTAAAAAGTTTAAATATTAAAAGTAATTCTTCTCTAGAGAAGATGAATAAGAAAAGAGACCTGAAACATTTAACTCTGCATTACACAGGGTGCATGCATAAAACAACACACCATTTCCATGCACTGCAGCTGCCCTGTACCAATCAACCAGTTTCTTCGCAATGCATTTCCAAAACATGTCTGGAATTACCATATATACTCCAATATAAGCCGACCCGAATATCAGCCAAGGCACCTAATGTTACCACAAAAACTGCATTTAAAATGTGCTGGAAAACTTGGCTTATACGCCAGTATATATGGTATGTCTTCACCTGCCATATAGTTCTCAATCCATTCTACTCTGACTCCTGCTATGAGTCTGAAATTACCTTCCATACGATCAACAGCTTATGACACATTGCTTGATGGCACTAGGGCATCACCATGGCACCTCAACCTCCTTCATCACAGGCCCCTAGAACCACTCCTCGTTCGTTCTCATCCTGCCCTTCTGAAATCCCTTTTCAAAAATCTTCCTCAATTTTTCTTTCCTTGCCCACCCAAATGTGTTGTAACTCTTCCTTCATTTATGATCATTTGACCTGCTTCCACTGGATACACTATTACATAATTTTTCAAATCATGAGAAGTATGGACTACCAAGCCTACACCTCCAGCCCAAACTGCTCTCGACAGCCACACCTACTGGAAAGAGCTGACTAGCCCTACCTCCAATCCAAAGAAGAGTGTTTGAGGACATTTAAGGTGTGCCAAATCCAAACCATGTTTTCAATCATTCGTATGCATGTGAAAGATGGACAGTGAATAAAGAAGGCTGAAGTATAATTGATGCATTTGGATTATGAGGCTGGCAAAGAATATTGAACAAACCACAGACTGTCGGACCAAACAAAAAACCCCACTGCCAATAGATTTTGACTCAGAGAGACCCTATATAGGGTTCCTGAGACTACAAAGCTTTATAGGAGCAAAAACCAGCCTCGTCTAACTCCTTGCAGTTAGCAGTCTAATGCTTGTCGCTCACCACCACCAGGGCTCCTTGAACTGCCAGAAACGAATCAATCTGTCTGAAAGAAGTACAGCCAGATGCGCCTGACAGTGAGACTTCTTCGTACGTACTTTGCACATATTATCAGGTGTACCAAGTCCCTGGAGAAGGGCATCATGATTGGTAAAGTAGACGGTCAGCAAAAACAGTGGCTGCAACAAACAGTACTTGAACTAACTATAAGCTTTTCTTTCTTGTGTTTTGTTTTGTTTTTGTCACTGGTTTGTTGTTGTTGTTTTGTTGTATATTGTTGCTTGATATTGCTCTGTCTTGTTTTTTGTGCATGTTATTATCTCCACAGGTCTGTCTAAATAAGATAGGCTGGATGAACAATCTGGAGGAGAAAACAACGGGACCGACAGTTCCGGAGGGACATGGGAGAGGGGGAGGTGGGGGAAAGGTAGTGGTGTTAACAAACCCAGGGACAATGGAACAAGTGATCCAAATTGGTGGTGAGGAGGGTGTAGGAGGCCTGGTAGGGTGTGATGAAGGGTAATGTAACCAAGAGGAATTACTGAATCACAAATAAAGACTGAGCATGATAGTGGGATGAGGAAAGTCAAAGGAAATAGAGGAAAGAGCTATGAGGCAAAGGGCAATTACAGAGGTCTAAATAAAGTCATGTACATATGCAAATATATTTATATATGAGGCTGGGGAAATAGATCTATGTACATATATTTATAGGTATAGTATTAAGATAGCAGAAGGTCATTGGGCCTCCACTCAAGTACTCCCTCAATGCAAGAATACTTTCTTCTATTAAATTGGCATTCTATGATGCT